CCCCCGCACTGACCGAAACTTACAGGATGGAAGCGGAAGGTGATTCTTAAAGAGACAGAGGCCAATTTCAAGGCGTTTAGAAGAGGAAGTGATGAGAAGATAAGTTTATTTTCTATTTAAACATAAAAACAGCATTTTAATAACAGCTAAAGGTGACATAGATACTTTATTATGGTATAGTATTTAAATATACGCCTGAGAAACACATAATATTGGCCCTTTAACTTTTATCTACAAGAGGTAAGATATCAATCTTCAGATTCGGCACAAACCAACAGTAAACCTGATTAAATCAGATCCAGGATTTATGCTAACAGTTAAAACAAGTTTGCAGATGAAAATGATTTGTTGTGATTGTGAGAAGACAAAGAGCTGGACCGACTGATTCTTATTACAACCGATTTGATTGAACAGAGGGAGCAGCAGGTTTGACTGAAGTGAATCGGACCTGTCAGTGTGATTAAGCAGCTCTGACTGTTTTTCTCTTTAGTTGTTGCGCAACATTAAACCGACTCCTGATAAGCCCGGTCCAATAAAAACATTTCATTACCACGGCTCATCTCCAACCTTTATCACCACAGGAGACGACGACTGGTGCAGAAACCAATAAACGTTTGTTTCTTCAGCTGAAAATAGCAACAAGAAGCTAATTCTGGTGGTGAACTGGGACGTGTTTTCATCTGGATTAACACACAACACGTTCAGGTCGTCCAGTAGACATGTCTCCTCATGTCTCCAGGAATTAAAGAAAAAGGCTGGAAGGGTTGAAGGGAATGGACACATTCCTCTTTTTTCCATAGAAAACCAAGGAAGAGGGAAGCTGTGGAAGACTGGAGGCGGATTGAAAAGAAAAAAAAAGGCAGGATGAACCCTCATTAAAGGCAGGAGAGAAGAGAAAGGGAGCCGGATATCCACAGTGGCTTTTTTAGACTTTTATTAGAACGACTTATTGTGCTGGATCCTGATGGCACACAGGGAGGGAGGGGGGATTAGCTTGTCCCATTTTAACAAAACACTGTCTGGGAAGTCTCTGCATTTACATTATAATTTATTTTAGATTAAAAACACATCATACTGAGCTTATTAACAGTCTAATTTTAAAAAGAGAAACTAGGTACAAGACAAAAAGTGTAAAACAAAATGTTAAAAAAATGTCACAACACATTTACATTATTTAGCTCACTTTCTCAATATTATTTTTTTATTTAACCAAGTGTTCTTACATTTTACACATTTTTACTAAATGTTAAATTTAAATGTTAAATAATGTGTTTAAATATTAAACACTTAATATAAAAGTAAAAGTTAAAAATTAAATGTTGAAGTTTACATTTAAGTATTTCGGAATGGAACGCAGCCTTTTGTTGTGACGTCATCGGCTGTGTCCAAAACGGCAGGACGGGTCCTCCGAAGGTCGAATTCGTCGGCCGCATACGTCACAGCGCCGCGACGAAGGACGTCCAAAACCGAAGACTCCTCCGATGCGGCCGACAAATACGTCCTTCCTTTGGTCCGAATCGAAGGACAGGTCTGATGGATCCTTCCCGGCCCAGCATATCCCATAATGC